GTAAGAGAACAATAAGTCAGAGCTCCAGTTTAAGTGATGTTTTGCAGCTCACTTGATGTGGTTACACTCGGATTGCGCAGCTAAACTTGGGTAATTTGGTTTGGTTTGACTTTGTAGGGGGTTGGAGGAACTCCCCCTCCTTTAAGTTGCATAGAGTTTAAGTCAAGAAAAAAATGTTGTTTCTTTTTACTTGTTTATTTCTTTCTCTACCAAAAAAGCTCTAAGTAGAAGCATCCTGTGTGTGCTTTTATTCTCTTTGGGCACGTCATAGATGATTTACTTCCCGTAAATCATGCTGGTTGGGATTAGCAACAGACCTCCTGAGCCCTAGAGGCTGAGCTCCCAGTGAGTCATGATGGTTATTATTAAATATTTATTAAGTGAGTATTTGCACTAAGAGATGCCAGGTCAAAAGCAACCACAGGTCTTCCACAGCCAGGGCTGCTATATCCTTTTTTGATTTGTTTTGTTTTGTTGATAGCAATTGTTAAGATGATATAAGAAAGGATAACTGGAACCATAGGAGGTATGCATGTCTGCATCTGTCATTATGAGGAGGGTCCCTGACCATGGATGGCTCCAAGTGGTGTATAAGTTTTTGTCACCAGTCTTGTAGATCTTGTCACACCAGTGTTCCAAATTTAGAAGCCAGTTGACCCAGCAGTAGCCTTTGCTACTCGTAGATGTAAAGAATCAATGAACTGTACCCACCCTGAGGCTATACTACCTTTTGCTCTGACATTCTAGATGTCATCAGTACAAGGTGATGGTTTATTATATACATATAAACTGGTGTGTGTGTGTGTGTGTGTATGCATATCAATTTAAGATTTTTATGATCATGCTTGTTCAGGTCCAATTTTGAAGAATTAGATTTACCAGAAAAAAAGATTAGTCCACATATAAAGCAGAAAGCATTCATAAGAGCACTCACAAATTTTTATCATCTTATTAGGTGGCCACAAACATTGGTTCTATCCTTTATTGTCTCTTCGAGAGACTAGCTGCAATGAATGTTTTGCTTTCTAAATCATGCCTTTGTTATACTTTTCTTTTCTTTTTGGCTGTCTTATTTCATTTATCTTTCCCAACATGTTTATTAGTAGCCAATCTTATTTTCCCTAATCATGGGTTATTACATCTAATAAGAACTTCTGAAATTATGTATATAATTTTAATATCAAGTACATACACCAAGCTAAAAACTAGCCTAGGAAACTGACACACAGGCAGGAATCCTTTGCAGAGTCTCTGGATTTCCTGTTTTGAAAACACATTCAAAGTTGATCAACCAAAAGCCACAACAAATGTACTGATAATTTCCTCCCCGACTAAGTGTACTCTCCTTTAGGGAGGAAGATGATACTTCCAACAATAAACCTCAGACAAAAAGATCTGTTAACTAAGTTGTGAGCTACTAGGATAATAAATCTCAAGACTTGAGACATTCCACAGTACACAGGCTTAACTTCGCTTGGTTCAGCAAATCTTTTTTCACGAAAAATATCATCCATTAGTCTAAATTTCTTAGGCAGATTTTAAAATGTTTAGAAATGTATGCTTTTAAGAACTCTTAACCTCTTTAGAAACATCAGTTTTTACTCCAGTTTTATATATATATTATATATATATGTATGTATATGATATTTTAAGCCTTAAACGCGCTGCAGAACCTGTACAGTCACGCACCGCATAACAACATTTTGATCAACTGCAGACCACATATACAGCAGTGGTCCCATAAGAACGTAATACCATATTTTTTACTGTACCTCTTATATATTTAGAGATGTTTAGAACACAAATATTTACCATTGTGTTACAACTACCTACAGTATTCAGCATAGTAGCATGCTGCACAGGTTTGCAGCCTAGAAGTTTACCACCCAGCCTAGGTGGATAGTAGGCTAGGCCATCTAGGTTTGTGTAAGTACCACTCTATGAGGTACAATGATGAACTACAATAATGAAATCACCTAATGACACATATCTTAGAACATATCCCCATACTTAAGTGATACATGACTGTATTTTAAAATCAAAAATTTGAATTTATTTTAAAAATATTTTCCAATTCGGAAGAACTTTCAATTTCCCACAATCTTTGTTTTATCTAGACCATTTCAAAATTGAATATAACAGAGGGAATGAGCTGGGCTTGGTGGTTCAGCCTGTAATCCCGCACTTTGGGAGACTGAGGTGAATGGATTGCCTGAGCCTGCAGGTTCGAGACCTGCCTGGGCAACTTGGCGAGACCTCATCTCTACGATAAATGAAAAAATTAGCTAGGCGTGGTAGTGCGTGCCTGTAGTTCCAGCTACTTGAAAGGCTGAGGCAGAAGGATCGCGGGAGTCCAGCAGGTCGAGGCTGTGGTGGCCGGGAGCATGCCACTGCACTCAAGTCTGGGTGACAGAGTGAGACTCCAACTCCAACAAACAAACAAAGCAGAGGGAATGATCTGCCTTTATGAGTATGGGAAACCTAAATGCTGTATGCCAGCCACACCCTGAGAGCCAAGTCTAACCTTATCCCTTTTTGGAGGAGCTAACTGGAGGGTCAGACCCTCTCTACCTTGGCCCGAGCTTCCTAGACTTCATTGTATGTCTGTAATGAAAATGAGTAAGGATAGTATTAAGCCTAGTGATTTAGGAAAGGGTAGAGAGCTTTAGAGCATAAATGTCCAAGTGACATTTTTGCTTCAAATGTCTGCACCACTGCTGTTCACTCTTCAGTTTTTCTATTTCTCAAAGCCTGGGCTAGAGGTAATCTGATTAAATAATTAACTACAGAAATTAGCTTTGAAGCTTGTTTCTGAACTATATTGAGAGTGATATTACCGAATCACAGAATTTTAGAGCCTCAGGGGACATTTGAGATCATGTAGTTCAAAAGTAGAGTGCTTTGGAATTGAAGTTTTATTTGGAAAATAATAATTGTCTTTTTAGGCATGGATTGAGTATAACCGAACAAGGATTTTTAGTCTCTCTAAAGCAATTTTTTGATCTAAAGTAGATTAGCTAATCTTAGAAAATAAGCATTTTAGAAAATCATAGATATGAATATAGGCCATTATAATTTTCTTATGAAAATAATTTTCTTATGAAAGAAAATTATTCTTATTATATTTTTTGGTGACTGTTACACTATTATATAAGCCATCCATTTTTATTATTGAGTCAAAGACCTAAGTTGAAAGGAATATATATATATGCTTTGAATCTTCAGGGAGATCTAAGTTAATGAAAAAGAAAAAAAATGTATGTGTGTGTGTGTTTTGAGACAGAATCTCACTCTGTCGCCCAGACTGGAGTTCAGTGACACAATCACAGCTCACTGCAGCCTCAAATTCCTGGGCTCAAGTAATCCTCTCACCTCAGCCTCCTGAGTAGTTGGGACTACAAGTGTGCATCCCCATGCCTAGCCTAAATATCTTAAATATTAAAATTCATTGTAGGCCGGGCTCAGTGACTCAGCCTCTAATGCCAGCACTTTGGGAGACCAAGGTGAGTGGATTGCCTGAGCCCACGGGTTCGAGACCAGCCCGGGCAGCTTGGCAAGACCTTGTCTCCACAATAAATAAAAAATTAGCTAGGCATGGTAGCGCCCACCTGTAGTTCCAGCTACTTGGAAGGCTGAGGCAGGAGGATCACCAGAGCCCAGCAGGTTGACGCTGGGGTGGCCGTGAGTGTGCCACTGTACTCCAGTCTGGGTGATGGAGTAAGACTCCAACTCAAAAAAAAAAAGTTGTAAGATTTCAAAGAATTATTTTTCCTAGGGAAAAAAAGTCTAACTGGTCAAGAAAAAAAATATATCTGTATGCCTTTTTCCTATTTTGTCTTAAAATCAGATAAAAACCACATATCTAATATTAAATTATCCTGGGAATAAGCTTGATGAATGTGGGTGAAATAGGGAATTAGACCTCAAGAAATTGACCTCCTCACTCAACATTTCAGGGCAGGTTATTTAGTGATTTTTTTATTAGAAAATATAGTTTATTTGGAAAGTAAATTAGAGAGAGAGAGAGGAGATTCACCTCCCCAAGATAGGGAAGGGAGCCAAAGTCAGGAAACATGGTGACATCAGAGTCTAGTAAGACAATGGCCCTATTTAGTAATTTGATTTGTGAAGTTATAGTAGACTATTGGTTCTTTCTTTTTTTTTTTTTTTTTT